ATCATCAATCATAGGACCAGGATTGAGTTTAACATCTCCTGATAAGAGGAGGAGCATAAGTAGACAAACAATCAAATAGAGATCATTGTAAATCAGGTTAGAACTGCTGCCTCCAGGTAAGACTACTGACTGAAGGTAATTTGTACCAGTAGCAGTAACACCAGTAGTACATTGAACTTGGTAGCAGTTACCTAATAATAAAATACCAGTAAATATACAAGTACAAAGTTGCAATTGTTGTTTACCAGTTGGAGGAATCATCAAGATGTGTCTTAATAAAGAGAGAGAGTGAAAGAGTAGGAAAAGGAAAGCAATAAGAGACAGAGCTGCTGGCAGTCTAGATGTCTTTTCTCCTGATGTAGATCTAGTACTGCCTGACTTGCTGTCTACTGCAGCTTTGAATGAGTGAGAGTGGTGGCCATTAGCTGGTCTACTGGAGGCAGCTTGACAGTAGTTCCACAGTCCAATACTTGCTCTCCATTGAGAGATATCAATCATCTTGTATTACTGAGGGGACAATATTGGAACCTTACTACACTTGCCAAATAATGTATTGTGCATTGGACAGGAAGTAGATTGTTTACATAAATTCACATAAAGATATCAAAGCCACCGCCTGTTGACCCATTCCACTATACATAACAGCACTGGAAGTGAGTGTCAGTTATTTGGCTCATAGATGCAGTATACAATTTTGTCAGCCAAAAAATAATGATTATTAATACAGAAGTCATTGCTTTGCACTTTAGCTGTCTTGTCTCAAACCTTTTGTGCTGTTATGGCCATACAGCACTCCTTACTGTGCTATAATTAGTATATCTATCAGTGCTGCTATTCCAGTTGCTGTTCTGTAACATAATCTGTTCCCATTCTCTCCTCTCCATCAGTTCTCTCTTTATCTCTGACTTGTTAAATTTCATCTCTCCATTACCATGACAACATATGTGAACAGCACACAGTATGAAATGTATTGTTATGCAATATAATAATAACTAAATTATCATCATCATTCTAGCACTGTTGCTGTAACTAACAGAAGGGTATGAACAAGATAATAAAAGAAAATTGAACAATATCAATATTAATATCACAGAATCTTGTATACAGCAGGATGAATGGTGGTGGGTCTACTCCCTGTGTCTCTCCATGGTGTGGGGAGAAATGTGAACTACTGAACTGTGATGAAACTGATTGCAATGGAAATGGAGTTTGTACTAATGGTAAGAAAGAAAATGCAACGGAAGAATGAGGAAAGTGAAAGAAATGGTGATGAGAAAAATTTTGAATGCAAACTCTAATAAAATATGTGCATGAACATATGAGGTTTTACTCTTTATTACATTTAGGATCTTGTAAGTGTAAAGCAGGATGGTTTGGTAGTCTCTGTGAGAAATGTTAGTCATTTTACTCCTCTTTAAAAATGCTCTATGAACTATTTTTATTTTTCCTATAGCTTGTCCACATATATGGTCCTGGTTGTGAATACTCTTGTTATTGTAATGATAATGGAGTATGTCATCATGTAACTGGATCATGTATATGTAATACAGGATATACTGGACCACACTGCATGGAAAGTAATGCACTTATAATAATATAAGCACAATTATTTTTCATCTTTTTCTCTTCATTCATTCCTCCTATCATCCTCTTTCTCTTTTTGTTCCTCTCTCTAGGAATATGTGTTTTCTATTCTAATCTTCAATGCAGTAATGACATCATTCCATGTTGCTTCAGGAGAAACAGAGAGCCATTTTGAATACAATTTTCTGTTTTGATCATCCACACTGAAGCTCTCAGCTTCTCAATTACTGATACATCATGTTGTGTTATTCCTGGGAGCAGTAGCTAAATCACAGCCAGTCAACAAGTGGTTCAAGCCATTAAATTAATAATGAAATATCAGATCCATCATCAGTCTTAGGACCAGAGTTGAGTTCAACATCTCCTGATAAGAGGAGGAGGAGAAATAAAACCAAATAGTAGATCAGGTCAGAGCTACTGCCAATAGTAGCTATAAACAAGACTAATGACTGGAGGCAGTGGATCATAACAGTAACAGTAATTATACCTATTGTAAATACACTGTATGATAATATTATATACTGTTAGTTTGTTTACCAGTTGGAGGAATAAAATTGAGCTTCATATATCTTAATAAAGATANAAGAAGAGAAACAATAAGAGACAGAGCTGATGGCAGTTTAGATGTCTTCTCTCCTGATGTAGTACTGCCTGACTTGCTGTCTACTGC